CGATCCCAATACGAAGTTCGCGAACATCAGGGATATCCATCGGGCTCAAATCGAAGCGGGTGAAAAGGAGGTTATCACGGCTGAATCCAGCGACTCTGAATGCCCTAGTGAGGCTGGCAGCTGTATTGTAGTGGGTGTGGTTGAGGATCAATAGTTAATAGTAATGAGGAGGTTGGGTTGTGATCCCATCGTTTTTGTGGTGCCAGAAACAGGGGGGTGCCAGGAAGTGGGTATGTTGACTTAAAGCATGGAATGCATTTCCACACGTTGAGTAAACCTTGACTTCTCGCGGGGTTATACCCTCTAGATGTTGGGTTCGAGTACTTCCGTACGCCTCAGGATTTCAAGGAGTAAATGGTGAGCGATTGAGGCAATTTTCACACTCTTTCAGACCTACTAGTAGCATTCGATTGCACCGCATGAATCAATATGCAATGACAAGTCCATATAGTGGTTCAAAATGCCTCGGCGGATTGGTCAAATTGCTTGAGTTGGTTGCTTAAATATGAAAGATTTTTCTTTCGATGAGTCCAAACCTCAAGACTGCTGGGGAACGATTTTTGAGAAGCTATTTCAAATGCTATATCTGGCTATTGCGAGTCCTGTGACTTGCCCATTTTTTGCTTACTTGGTTAGATCCTGAACCTGTCGATGCCAATATTGGAATCAAGTTGACGCAGTGGCCTCTGTAGTGCATCAGAATGTCGCAAACTCGAAATTCGTGCTCCTGGATTCATGAGTCTTTGCTTATTCAAAAGTCGATTTTAGCTTTCATAAATAATTAACACAACTGACATTCAAATAAAAACTCGACTCTGAAGATGAACGAGCAACTTAAGCTTCAAGTTGACACGACATCAACTTATTGAAAAGTTTCCAGATATTCACCAATTATGCAGTTTCAGTATAATAGCGACGTGCTGACAGTTCAAGCATTTCGAACTTGGCGTAAAACTCATTCATTAATCCTTGGTTTGAGGCTCTGAATGATAGGACGGTATCTCAGCCCGTACGCTTTTGGGGTGGATTCACAGATTGAATCTTGCCCTCCTATGGAACATGGATAGAGCTTCTATCGTTGACTCCTTGCGTATGGGGAGCATAGAGACGTATCCACATTTGATTACTTACACTTATAATTGAATCGTCCTCCCACTAGTGCGTCTCTGAAGATCGATTTGTTTCAATCTAGTTAAAAGGTTGTCAACTAAGGTAGGCACATTCCTTCAGCGTACCTCAAGCTCGAAAGTTGGCATCACGCAGTCCTTGACGATAGCAATTCAATGCGGGCAGCCTTTTGTCCCGGATGAGCAATGAAATTATTCGCGAAGAGTCATTCATGATCTAGGGTCCTATGCCAGGAAACTCGTAATGTCTCCTGCGTTTGGGGTACGGCGCTTCTTGGAGCCTCTCGGTAAAGTGGGTGTCGCCGTGCCGGTGACTTTGCCCAAGTAACCTGCCAACTATACCTCACTTTTCTCAGATGGGTGACAGTAAATGTTATTTTTCCTAGGTACTTCCTCCTTGGTGGCTACTCCCAATCACATATCCTGTCGCCACCAACACAGAACGAACCTCAGCTATCACGCCCCGAGGCCCCACCCCCGCATTTCAGCAGGACATCCCGACACTCCTCATGCTTTCTCAATGAAACCTCATGGTGGTCCCGGGGCCTCTATACAACTTTTTTTGGAAAATTTGCAACCCAATACCTCCCAGGGTTCGGCCATCGTAGTGTCTGTCTTTAAATATGAGCCATTTGGGCGAGCCCGGGACGCTCTTGAGACCCCTTCTCCTCACCCGTGATCATATCATCCATCTCACTTCGTTTCTGCTCTCGACTATCGTGGTATTCTTTGCAAAAGTAACACGATGTCAATCTTGCCTGTTCAGGAGATTCGGCTGCAAGAAGATGTGGACACTAAGTTGAAAGAACAAACGCTGGGAACAGTTCAGCTTCGCCACAATGAAACCAATGAAATCATTCTGGTACCCACGCCCTCAAATGACCCCAACGATCCTTTAAACTGGTGAGTGTTGATTCATTCCCAATTGCTACGAATACCACGAATTGAGGGAGACTTGCGCTGAATCATAACGTACCAGGTCACCAACACGCAAATACTACATTTTTTCGCTGACATGCTTTGGAATTTTCTTCGCCCATGCCGTCATTGTCGGGCCTGCTGTTGCCCTAGAGTTGATCACTCTCGAATTCTTCGGCCCTGGGCCTGACACTGTGCCAAACAAAATTGCTAAAGCATCATACCTTCAAACCGGGTGTTCACTCATGATTGGTGCGGGCAATCTTATTTGGGTGCCTCTGGCAATCAAATACGGCAGAAGGCCCGTTTACATCGCGTCCTACCTTTTACTTACGGCAAGTTGTATATGGAGTGGCGCAGCGGCTTCTTTTGGCAGTGCACTTGTTGGCAGGCTCTTTCTCGGCTTTGCTTGTGCTGCTGCAGAAATCGTCGCACCCTTGACAATCACTGACTTGTTCTTCTTGCACCAACGCGGGCGTGCCATGGTGTCAGTCTATCCTTCTTTGCTTACATCCCAGGAGCGCCTTAATTAGGATGAATCGATTCTGACAATCTGCATTAGTATCTACACATGTTCCTTATCTGCGGGTGTGGGTGTGGGCGTGGTGTTTTCGGGCCTGATCACACAAACTTACAGCTGGAGGATGATATTCTGGGTATTTTCTGCCTTCGTCGGAACTTGTACGGTTCTAGTACTGTTCACCTTCCCCGAAACACACTATCGAAGGCGATATGCAACGGAGCTAGAGGTGGTACCATCCAGACACGAATCCACCAAGCCGTCTTCTCAGTGTCTTGAGAACCCTCCTTCTTCTTCGCACACGTCATCTCCATCGACGTGGAAGACCTATTTGGCGACTATGACAGTCTTCTCGGGGACTTACACCAGCGAACCTCTACTGGCTCTGATGTTCCGTCCTCTTGTCGCCATTACTTTGCCAGCCGTATTCTGGGCGACCTTAATCAACGCAATCACCACTGGCATGATCGTTGTGATATCCGCGAACTTCTCGAATGCTTTCTCGACGGTCTACGGTTTTCATACCTGGCAATCCGGTTTAACGTATCTCTCTACGATATTTGGCTCCTTCCTAGCCATCTTCTGCGGGGGACACTTCACAGATTGGATGGCAGACAAACTGACGATTCGGAGTGGCGGAACCAGGATCCCCGAAATGCGGCTACCTGCAATGATAATCAGCTTGATCACGGGTCCATTATCATGCATCTTATACGGGGCAGGCTTCGAGAAGAAATTACATTGGATTTGTCCCACTATTGGTATCGGCCTTGGTACGTTTATCCGCCTTCCTCTCGGTCTCTTTAGACACGCATATGTTATGGAAGGGATATTGGGGCGTCACAAGCTAACTTGGATAGTAAACTTCACCACTGTTCAGTCAAACAACGTGGCTCTTGTGTATATTCTTGATTCTTATCGGCCCATAGCCGGTGAGGTTATAGTAACGCAGTCTTTCTTCAAAGGTAAGCCAATTCCTGAGATGTGCCTATGGCATATTTGTGTGAGTTACGACCCTCGAGGGGGCGTTTCTTTGGGTTCATGTAGCTGATGTTCCAGTAGCCGTTTTTGGATTTCTTCTCAGCTTTTACGTGAATGTTTGGGTCCAAGAGTCAGGATATCTCTCCGTATTTGGAACCTTAGCGGGTATATCGGCGGCTGTGTTCTTGTCAACCATACCCTTTTACTTTTTTGGAAATCGAATGCGACAGGCAACATGGAAGTGGAAGTTTTCCAGGCAGTTCCTGCACTGGCACCCAGATCGGGAGGTCGGCGAATAGGCTACTGTAGTAAGCGCTTCATTCAGTGCCCGCAACATCCTTCGTCGCTGTGGGTAGATACTCGGGCGATACTTGGAAGGACGAAGGCAAGAGGGAACTAGAGACTTGTTCGCTTTGTTTCAACATATATGCCTTAGGTTAACGTGACAATTTTCTATGGCTTTTCCGACAACCTCGTCACTTTCAGTCCATGTATAGCCCCCCATTGACGAACATGTGTTCTCCATTGACCCATCGGGATCGTTCTTCGCAAAGAAACGCCACAGCATCCGCTATTTCTTCTGGCTTGCCTAGCCTTTTCGCCGCCGGCGTTGCTTCAATTGTAGGCCCTAGGACCTTCATGGCTTCCTCTCCGGCACTCAAGAACCCGTGCGTCGCAGTAGGGCCAGGGGACACAGCATTGACGGTGCACCCATATTTTGGGGGAAGCTCTTTTGCCCAAACCCGGGTGAAAGAATCCACCATCCCCTTGGTCCCGGCGTAAATAGTTTGTAGAGGAGGGGCAGCGCGGGAGCTAATGGAACAAATGTTGACGATGCGTCCACTTCCGCGGGTAAGGTATGGCAGAGCCTGCTGCGTCAAGAGAAATGTTCCACGACCGTTGAGATTGACCAAATAATCCCAGTGATCGAGCGTTTGTTCCTCAAATGGCAAATTGATGGCAATTGCGGCGTTATTGACAAGAATGTCAATGTGACCATAAGCCTCAACTGCACCTTCTATCAACTTCCTCGGTCCGTCCACAGTGCTAATGTTGGCTTCGATCGCGATTCCTGGGGTGGAAAGTGCCGCCACTGCTGCGGCCGCTTCATTTGCTAGGGAGGCGTTTGGGTAGTTGATTACGGCGTGGGCTCCTCGAGCGCTGAGCTCCTTCGCTATTGCATGCCCAATACCACTGCAACTACCGGAAACCACGGCAATCTTGCCCGCGAGACTCTGGTTTGCGGCCATGAGGGCTGAGCTTGAATGGGGAAGGGTGTGGTTCCAGGCAGATTCGCAATCTGATAAGCGGACTTTATGTAAATACTAGCAGTACTCAATTTTGAAATGTTTGACAGCATCATTTGGAACCTTCTCAAGTTGTAACACATATGAACCTCGTATTATTCAGCCCAGAACCACGATGGTCGCTTGCCCCGGCTCGTGTCGATCCCCCGCTCCCGCCCCTCAAACCCACTGCCGACGTGGTATCGAATTCCGGCACGGAAAGTGGGGGATGGCGTGGAGTCCACTTGCCGTCCCGGCGTTCGGGTCTTCAAGCAATACGGCAGAATAGTTGCGTCGTCCGTCCGACGTGCCTCACCTGGTATCGTCTGAAGGGGTGGTCTGAGATAAATTTGCTCGGACCCGGGGTCAGTGATGAGACCACACTGCAACTCGCTCGAGGGTCAGCAGTTAAAGCTACTGGGGGAACAAAATTAAGAAACTAAGCAGCTTTTGCGGATATTAAAAAAGCAATATGGGATGGCCTGGTCAAGCAAATACTCACTTCTTACATGCAAACTCATCGAAGCCTATTTGATGCGCATTTAACCTCTCTCTTTGGAAATCAGATAGGCATTACACCACACCCACAGTGCTTGAATATGATGCAAGAATAGCAACTCTGTGACCTTCGAGGAAGATATCGAAAATATCAATATGCTAAATCAATTCTGACGACGCCCTGTCGTTGGGTTGAAAGGTCCTGAGTACTTTGTGGGTCTAGAATGACTCTAGGTAGATCATGATACCAGAGGGTCTTTGTGCCATTGTCGTACCCTACTCGTTGGGGAGATGAATCAGAATTTCAATATGGGTGTTTATGTGGTCTGAGAATCTTTTGCCACATACTCGGCACCAGGAGCATCATAAGCCCATCTCAAAACATGTGTTCCAGCCGTTGACTTTACAACGAATTTCATACTATTTGTTACGTCTTCGCTTAGTGTTTTGGGTTGACTATCATCAAAAGATGCAACTCAGTTACTATATTCTCAAACCCAACCAATGCACATCACTAACGTCACATAATCCCTGTAGTGACACGCATAGATTCCCAAGACTCAAATTTCTTCCCCATGTTAGCGGGTGTCTTTGCTCCAACCCCCGGGCGATCCTTGGCCCAATCCTGCAGACCCGCCTTGCTCATTCCCGTGTACTTTTGCAATTCCTCCTCTGAAATCTCAACTCGGTTTCGGTCTTGCATGCGTTGATAGAGTGATCTCTTCTTCGACGTTGATATTGGCATAGACTCGGAAGTTTGGTGCTTTATAAGCGGCGTTTGACTGTCGGTTTTGATGAGTTGATCAGACATGTTGATCTGAACGCGTGTGCTTCAGAGAAAATGGTTTGTAGACAGCTCTCGATCCTGGTAGCGGGAGTTTCGTTCAGAGTAAGTGTAGGCGGAAGGCAGTCTTGATATGATTCGGTTCTGAGCAGAGGACAATCGATTAACAGTCTTCGAGTGATGCGCTGGCACAAATCGTCTTTTCTTGGCGCCAGGTGATTATTGTTTTGATTTGTTGTAGACTCAAGTTGAATACATGTATTTTCTCTCTAGAGGAGCTGTCGTAGCCGATATTTATAACTGGATCTTCCAGTCGCCCAGGTGCATTGACACAGTGAATAAAGTGCCGGCCACTTCCGTGGTGACGAATGAGGCCTTGTTAGTTGACTACTTTACGGCGCAGCGGGGAGCAACGCCCAGCTGGTCACGAGGACTGAGGCACAGCTCAAGCACCTTCCTGTCCTGGGCTCGAAGTGGATATGTTGGTCGCTTGCAAACACGTATTGGCTTGGTAGCCATCGCGGAGCCTCAAAGTGGAACGAGCGGGCAGTCACATGGATTCGTCGGGCAACGTGAAGTTGTCGCAAGCTGGTAGGGGGAGAACGGCAACCCCGAGAAGAGCGGCAGCGCGCTTGCCGGCACGGCCATAAACATTATCTCAGCTCACTATTCATGGAATCCAATGCGAATTGGCTTCGACTTATTCACGTTGTATTCTTCATTATCTATCATACACAGCCAGGTAAATGGCTGGAGAAAGACATCTATCGCATCATCACAGTAAGATCCGATGATGGAACTCGCGCCGCTCGCTCTCGAGAACCAATGGACCACCACTGGGTCCGCTAGCATCTAGACTTAGGGTCACCCGCTGCAAGTCAGCAACGACCCGTACTGTCTCGCCAATGTTTTGGTAATCGATCTCATGATGACCAGCTGTCTCGTCATTCTCCTCCTTCTTGACCTCGCGAATCTCCACATTGGGGTAGGGCAGCCGTCCTTCGCGCAGCGGGACGATGAGCACGGGAACATGCAACTCGGATTCTCCAAACTTGGCGTCCGACTTGTCTACTCCCAGACTCTTGAAGTTGCCGCGCTTCCGGCCGCCGATGAGCCATGTGTCACCTGGACCAGTCACATCAAAGCTGAACTCGTAGTCCCTATTGATGCCTTTGCCATCACTGACAGCCGTGTCCCAGATGCGAGTCCAGCGCAAACGTAGATTAGCAGACAGCAACTGGTTGACGGCCAGGGTCGAACCTGCTATTTGTTCGTCGGGTGGCGGAAGCTGAATGTCGACCGAGTGGAAAACGGGAATGGAGGGGACGTCGACAGGGATGAGGATTGATCGACTGATAGACTCGATTCCTTTGATGGTTAACTTTGGATACGTTGACTGCCAGGAAACAAGGAATGCTTGAAGAGCTTTAGAGGTGTCTTCTTTGCCGCCCGGGACTGTGCCCAGACCTCTGAAGATATTCCCTGTTAGTAAAGGCGATACGAAGGCCGTAGAAACCTCGCCGAGGAGAGCAGCTCGCTCCAAGTCATAAGCCGAAAGGCTAGACCGCACCTCTGCCAGTACGCGGTTGATCAAAAGGCCTGAGAAGGAGGAAAGAGGAGATTCTTCGATGTACTTTGACAGGGAATCTTCAACAAGGGCAATAATCTCATCCAAGACAACGCTGTAATGAAGCTTAAGATACAGGGTCCGCTGGGTCTTGGGTGTGGTGTTGCCTGAAGCTTTGCGTGTGATCTTGTAAAGCAAACTGGCAGGCTGCTTCGGAAACACCATGATGGACTTGTTTGGTGGAGCTGCAGAATGGGCAGAAAAGACATCTGAGTCGATCAGATGTGTTTTGAACACTCTGAGTGGGCTCAACGAGGCTGTTGAGACGCTGAAGCGGGAGAATAAGGCGTTGTGCTTGAAAACGTCCTGTACATTGACGCCCAAGGCGAGTGCCACTGGGACTGAGAACACATTGGAGTATGTGAAAGTGCCCTCGTCTGTAGTGTACGTTATTTCGACTCTAGCCGATATGCTCGGAACATCTTGCTCGATGGTGTACGGGAAACGCATTTTGATGGCGGACGACGCGGAGATGCTTCCGAAGCGGAAAAGTCCGGCCTCCAAAGGCTTCTCGTATTCTAGTGTAGGTCCAAGAAACGTTGCTTCGGTTGAAATGATTCGAAGGCCGCCAGTCGATGGCTTGACCGAAAGCTCACAGGACTTGATAGTGTTCCATCCCGTCAAGAGTTCCAAATCAAGTGAATTGTTCTTGTCCAATTGAATGTCTCTTGCCGCCGTTAAGCGACAACTCAAACCGCCAGTGGGGCGATAGAGTTCCAGGTCGGGAAGACGGAAGATCTGCGCCGTCTTGCTGGGTGTTTGGTTAACATCCCGCTCCCAGTGTAAGTCAACTTTGTTGCAAATCAAATCTGCCCGGTCAATCCTGTAGTGACCGGCGACATTTGTCTAGCATCTGTTAGTTCAGCTTCTCTCTTATCGTCAGCATACTACTTACAGTGCTGGTAAGCCGCAACTCGTTGATCCCTGGCTTGAGAATGTTCGCTTCGGAAGTGTGTAACCAAACCTCCTTTGTCCCCCCGGATGACGTCCTGGACAAGCGTATGGCGGCCTTCTCCAGGCTTAGGTCATCTATGAGCAAGCTTCTTAGTTTAATGGTGAGAGAGAAGCAATCTTTGCCGGTGTGGTAGGCTGGATGCCCGACAACTTCGACTTGGGTGAAGAGATGCCCCAGAGGCACCCTGACCTCGTTGGAAAGGGTCTTAGCTACACTCAATACCTCATCGAGAAAGCCAGCGATGGCACTTTTCTCGGGGTACTGAACCTCCGAGTGAGCTACAAGCGAGGGCTTCTTCTGTTGAAGCCTCTCATTTTCTGCGGCTGCTGCCTTCGTCAAGAGCTTCAGTCCCACACGAACAAATTCATCCTTACGCTGAAGCTCTTTCAGACATCGAGAGTACATGACAAGCATGGAAAGCTCCAATAGGCTCCAGCTGTTCTCCCCGAAAAATGGAGTGGTCATGTAGAAGTAAGAAGCGGCCGGGCCGTACTCGCCAAGGTGATACTTGAGCACGGCGAGATCGGCCATGCTTGTCTTGACTGCATGAGTGTGGTTGGCCACGGTGTAATGACGCAAGGCCTTGTCCGTGAGTGTTTCGTACAGGCGATAGAAGTCGTCCCGATTGTCGAGGGCAGTGTGGAGAAGACCGTTCTCGATACCAGCCAGCCCTATACAGAGCGGATCCGGGTTGTCTGTCTGAGACTTGTGATCATCCCCGTCGAGATCAACGTCTTCAAAGTCGTTGCCATCCATTTCCCCTAGTACCGGCGCAGATGTCCATCCAATATCCCAGCCTCGTTTCTTTCCGCTGCCTTGGAGGACGTTCCTAGACAGAGCATAGAGCTCTGCCCGACGCGCAGCGAGTTCCTCTAGGCCAGCTTTGAGAAATTGGGCGTTGGGTGCTGTATTGTCATCAAGGTTGGGGCCTGTTCCCCCGGGAAACACTCCAGGACTGGGCGGTGGTCTGGTACTTGTATTGGAACCCGTTCCCACACGCAAAGACGAGTTTCGAGCCGGGTGTAGCATGGTTTTCAACTCTGGAATTGATGACTTTGGCTCATGGCCGTCGGAGGGAGTCAAACTCGATGGGGGGATGGGCAGTGCTTTGCTCGACGTTTGAGCAAGAATCTGCTGCGCGACGGAGAATGCGAATGATGCAACAAGATTATCAATAGCCTCCGCCAGGACGGGGTTGAGAATTGGGGAATCTTCCTCGGTAAGCTTGTTCTTCAGCGCAGCCAAGATGTCGGCTCTCATGACTTGCGAGACAGCCGGTACGAATTCTAGGGTCCTTCGGCAGATCTCAGCCAACATGGACAGATTTTCGGCTTCATCTGTCTGCTTTGGGGGCGGCGCTTGCGGTGCAACGCCGTGAAGGACAGACTCTTGTTGCTCTCTAAGCTTTGCCAGGAGATCTTCCCTAGTTGACCAGGCGTTGCCAAGGCGGAGCAGCAGCGATATCTGTCTCGCAAAGATGTAGCAGCGAAAGTCAAAGACTGACACATTATTGGCTACTATCATTTCGCGGTACGGCTTCTTTGTGGCGCTAATAGGGATATCGTCGAACTTGTCGGTTTTGGAGGCATCCGTGGCCTGTAGATCAACAGGCTGGTCATCCTCTAGAGAGCCGTCCTCAGCACCCAGTGCGGCAACGGCAGCTTCAGCTCGCTTCACGAGGTCTTGCGTGTGACTCAACAGAGAGCCCCCATGGGTCTGGGGATCTCCGGAGGTGGCCTGTTCTTGGATGACTGTGTCGAGACCGACACTGAGCTCGTCGTAGCCAACTAAGGCATCCTCTACAAGACCGACACTCTCGAACCCACGCGCAAGACCCTCCTTGAGTATGAAGAAGGTACAGAAGTTCCAACCCGGTAGAGCCCGCTGAGCATCCTTCTCCTTGATGTCTTCCTCGTACTGTGACACCCTCATGTCAAAGGATGATAGAATCAGCTCCTTGAATTTGCCAACGAGGTCATCCCATGCGTTTTCGGCATCCTGACGCGACTCGGTATAACCGGTTGGCGTGGCAGGAACAACTCGAGGCAGTACATCGTATGGAACGTCGTTGATGCCGATACGGATCTGGGCCACACGATCGATCGCGCCCTTGCTAGAGCTGTTGAAGTCGGACCGAAGCTTCTCCAATAATGTGGAGGATCCGGAGCCCCATCTTGACGATCTTGCTTTCTCGGCAGCATCGAGGCCCTTTCCGCTGACCCTAGGTTGATTTGCCGCAAAAGTGTTGGGTATTACGACATGAATAATCAGGAACTCAAATGCATCATGGTTCTCTTGTGTGTTCAGCTTCCGGGTAGACTGCGAAGGCGGTGTATTCTTCTTGATCCATTCTCTGATTTCTGCCCTTGTTTGGGACTTGTAGGTATCGCTGTCGTCGCATCGAACGAGCAGGACTTTGAGGTAAGGGGTCCGCCTCAGGCCGGGTATTTGGTGGCGCCGTTCCTTGCCAGGCTGTCGCGCCGCTATCGTTGGGGTATCGGAAATATCTGAAGACGTGCTTTTGCCTCCGATAGACTGCGTTTGGAAGCCATCGTCCTTTGCGCCGGCGCTTACTGACCGGCGGAGCGAAGGGGAGATGGTTGGCGAGATTGGGGCAGCTGGGTCTCCGCCAGCGGGCGTGAGCTCTACGTGGAGGGTATCGATCGAGCGCAAAGGTCCAGCATGCGACTGCCAATGGAGATTTCGAAGGGGCAGTCGTGGAATGAGGCCCGGGGTGACGAGCTTGTAAACGTCGTGGGGATCGAAGTACTCGACTGCGAATAGCATGCTTGGTCAGTTGGGGGGAAGCGCAGTCAAGGTACGACTAGTAGGCCAACGAGAGAACAACGGGATCATGAGACGCGTAGAGCTTACCTGTGACTTTGGAGGTTGAAAAAGGCCGCTCCATCTTGAACGGCTCCTCCAATTTGGACTTTTAAATTACATGGTCCGTCGCAGCTTCATTTACTAAATTGCGCGGCGGGTGGGTGCCGGTCGAATGCAAGGTGTACAACTCGCCTCGGTGAGGTTCTAGCTTCGGTGGAGACGCTGGGCGCGATTCAGCGAGCTTGGAGCTGGAACATCAAAGGGGTTCGGTCCCGTTTGTTGGAATTGGAGCCTTGGAGCACTGGACGGGAGGATGGGAGCTGGCGAAATGCGCCAGCCAACGGCGGGATCCCCTAGTCGGCCCCGGCCTAGGGGTACCTAGGAACCTCGACAATGTAAGGTAGGTAGGTACAAAGGTAAGTCAAACCACCCACTTTTAGCCCACCCCCCCTTTTGGCCTACCCCAATTTCCTTCCTAGCTACTAATTAAAAACCCTATTTATAATTTTTAATTTAATATAATAATTATAAAAATCGTCTAAATAAATTTCTTTTTTATATATTTATTAATTTATAATTAATAATATTATATATTAAAAATAAGGTTTAATAAGCTCTTAAAACTATTAAAAACGGTCTTTTTTTAAAAGAGCCTCGATTATATTTAAGGTTTTTAAGTTAATATTTCGGAATTATAAAAAAGGTTACTAAATAAGGATAAGGGTATTTATAAACCTTTAAAAGCTTTTTTTATAATAAAAAGATTAGCTAATTTAATAAGTTTAAATTTAATATACCCTAAGTATTATACTAATTTATTAATAAGTTAAAGAATTTACTAAATAAATTCTAATATTTTAAGGGGATATTAAACTATTTAAAAAGAGATAGATTAACGTTTTTATTAAAAAGAATTTATTAATAAAGGTTTAGAGAAGTTATTTAATAAATTTATATTATATTAATAAAGCTATTATTAATATAATTAAATTATAGTTTAAATTATTTAATATATTAGAGATTAGTAGTATTAAATAAGTTAATAAGTATAATATAAATAAGACTAATATAATAAAAGATAAGGGAGCTAATAAGCTAGTTTTAAGTATAATAAAGGCTATAGTAATATAAAAAAAGAGCTTAGTTTACGTATTTAAATAATAATTATTAAATATATTTTATTAATAATAAATTTATTAAATTACTAGTTATTTATAAAAGAAAGTTAGTATAATAATAGTAGTTTTTTTTTTAATTTAATTTTTATTATAATTAGAAATTTATAATAATAAATAATAATTAGATAACTAACGAAACTACTTTTTATTAATTAAAAAAAGTATTTTTATTATAAACTAAGACCCTCTTTATTAAGGGGTTTAGTAAGCTAAACTAGTTTTAATTATTAATATTAAATAGGTATAGGAGTTATATAATAATAGAATTTATATAAGAATATTATAAAAATAACGTTTACTTATTATTTTTATTACTATATACTTTTTATATCCTCTAGCTATTAAATATAATTATTTTTAAACTTTTTAAATTTTATTATAAAAAGGAGCTTAGTAAAGAGAATATAGTAAATAATTTTATTATTATTAAAAAGTAGTACTTTTTAAGCTATTATTAATTTACTTATTTAACTAGTTTAATATTATTAAATATATAAAGTAAGTAAAAAGTAATTAGATTATAGCTACTTAATATAACTAAGCTACTTCTTAACTTAATAATCTTATTTATATAAGTTATATTATTTAAAAAGGGTATAGAAGCTAAGTAAATAATTAATAATATTAATAAACTATTTAACTAAGTATTAATAACTTTTATTATTAACTAGTTAATTTTTAAAAAAGTTAGTAAGCTTAGTAATTATTTAAAGCTATTTATAGAGCTTAGTTTAAATAGTATTATTTAATAATTATTATTTAAAAAAATAAAAAAAGTATTTAATAAGTAAGCTTATTACTTAGCTATATCTTAGTACTAAATTCGATTTTTAAAAGTAAGAGTTAAGTATATAAAGCTTAGAAAAAAAAATATTTTAATAAACTTAAATACTAAGTTTATAAGTATTTAAGATATATAAAAAGCTTAAGAGGATTTTAATAACTGTTTAGTTAGTCCTAATTAACCTATAGGGGTTAAATTATTTAATAATAATTTTGATTATATTATTATAGTAGTAGAAGGTAGTTAATTAATTAATTATAGTTAATACTAATATTTTGAGACTATGTTGTTGGGGTGGGCTAAAAGGGGGGGTAGGCCAAAAGTGGGTGGTTTGACTTAGCTCTGCCTCCGATGATTCCCCGAGAGCGGTGTGCTACCCAGTGCTGGAATGATTGGCCCAAGATGACGCTGCTTGCTGAACGTCAATGGAGGGGCACGGCAGAATCTTTTTTGGTTTTGCTTTGGGGAGAAATGCCCCTCCTCTGCCTTGGATCAGGAAGCGATAAAGTGCCCTATATTTCTTGAAGTAAAAGACTTGAGCTTTACTTCTTTCTCCAACAGCATCATCGTAATTTCTCTGTTTTCGCCATGTCTGGACTCCAAGCCGTCAAGTACACTCGGGGTCGTCTCGAAGTCCTGGACCAACTGAGACTGCCTCATGAATTCCACTACGATGAGGTGTCCACCAGCGAGGAGGCCTTTGACTGCATCAAGTCGATGAGAGTTCGTGGTGCCCCCGCCATTGCTATCGTCGCCGCCCTCGCCCACGCTGTCGAGCTACACAACGGCAGCTGCACCGCCTCTTCATCCCAAGATGCCGTCACTTACATCGACTCGCGTTTGGATTACCTCAAGGAAAGCAGACCGACTGCTGTCGACTTGACCAATGCTATCAACCAACTAAAGGCTCGCGTTAGGAGCGCGCCTCAGGATGATTCCAAGACAGTCATTGCTGCATACATTGAGGAAGCCGAGAAGATTCTGCAAAAAGACCTTCAGACCAACCTGTCTATTGGTGACCATGGAGCGCAATGGTTGAGAGAGGTCGCTGGTGCTTCACCTGATGCCAAAGTATCTGTCCTCACTCACTGCAACACTGGCTCTCTGGCAACATCTGGTCACGGAACCGCCCTCGGTATCATCAGAACACTTTGGTCCAACAACCTTCTAAAGCACGCCTACTGCACCGAGACAAGACCCTACAACCAGGGTAGCAGGCTGACCGCCTTTGAGCTTGTTTACGAAAAGATCCCCAGCACTCTCATCACAGACTCCATGGCTGCCGCGCTGTTCAACTTGCAAAAGGACAAGATGAACATTGCCGCTGTCATTGTAGGTGCCGACCGTGTCGTTCGCAACGGTGACACTGCCAACAAGATTGGAACCTACCAGCTCGCCGTCTTGGCCAAGCATCACGGCGTCAAGTTCATTGTTGCGGCTCCCACCACCAGTATCGACCTCGAGACCCAGACCGGCGCCGGCATCAAGATCGAGGAACGCAAGGGGGAGGAGCTCACGCAGATTTCCGGTGCTATCGTCCAGGCTGATGGCAACGTCGATATCGCTCGTACAGCGCGTGTGGCGACGGCGGACCAGCGCATTAACGTCTGGAACCCTGCTTTTGATGTTACTCCGCACGACCTGATCGATGCTGTTGTTACGGAGAAGGGTGCTGTTGTCAAGAACGACGAGGGTCAATTTGATTTCCGTCACATCATGCCCGAGAGATGGGCGCAAGTGGTCGCCCAGTGATGGGAATCTCTCCTTTCAAGCGTAGATGATGATGATATTTGTTTTGCGTTAGAGACTGGAGCTGGAGCTGGAGCCTGATATATGTTCAAAATTGAATTTTGTCTATAGGGGATATAGCGTATTAGCAGGACACTGCTTCAAGATTGTCGCATGATACTAAGCAGAGTCCTTGAGAGCATGCAGGATCAACTTTTGGTAACCTCCCACGGATTCCTCAAGCTCAGCAACGGTGATGTTTTCGTTGCGGCCATGTGCAACCAAAATCGTGCCTGGTCCATACAGGTAGCGAGTGTGCGAGCCCTTGAGGTTAGGAATGTCAGTTCCATAGTTGGCCACAAGGGTGTCAAATCCTGGATGATGAGTCGTCAGTAACTATTCAAACTGCACAGGTTGCTTGATTAAAGTGCATGGGTCTCACCATCAACGTCACAGTTGGCCTCCACCACGCCATATCCGTGGGTGCAGGTCAACTCGAGGGACTCGGCATCGGTTTCGTCGAGAATCTTCTGGATTCTCTGTTTGACAATGTTGCCGCCGTCCTTTTCGGGGCCAATGGCAACCCGAACCGCGATCCTTGCCAGAGCAGAGGCAGGAATGACATTCTGAGCAACGCCGCCGTTGAACTGGCCAACATTGACGGTGGTGTTGCCCCACTTGTCAGTGCTTCCGAGATCTGTCGTGATAATCTTGGCGAGGGCCTTGATCATGATTTCGTTGGCCGACTTGCCGAGCCATGGGTAGCCAGAGTGTCCAGCGACGCCCTTGGCCGAGATATCGCAAAAGACACCGCCCTTGTGACCGCAAGCGAGCTTGTTCTCTGTAGGCTCTCCGAAGATGACGGATTCAAATTGCACCGGCGGGTCGGCTGCCTGGAGGGAATCGGAAAAGAAACGCATTCCATCGCCAGTGTCCTCCTCACCAATGACAAATAAGAGCATGGCATCTTCGGGGTTGACTTTGCCGGCCTCGAACAGGTCCTCGAGAGCAATGATCTGAGCCGCAACACTAGCCTTGGCGTCAACGCTTCCTCTTCCACTAATACGAGTGTCGGGAGTGATTTTGTCATCGGATATGCCGTAAGGAATATGAGGCGGCACAACATCGTAGTGCGAAGTGACTACAACGCGAGGTGTGGGCTGGCGTTGGTTCGTCTTCCAGGCCAGGACATTGAACCTCGGGGTCTCTTCCGTGTTGTTGTTGCGCGGTGGCAGGAATTGCAGAGAGGAGACATAGCCGCGGCCGGTCAGATAATCGACCAAGAACTTCCCGGCGGCGCTCTCATTGCCTGAGATGGAGGGGATCTCAATGAGGGATCGATGTAAAGAGATGAGGTCGTCGCGCCAGGAAGGAGCGGCGGATGAGGGTGAGTGAGGCGTTGGCGGGGAAGATTCGACGCCGATGGGCTGCTGGATGCGAGAGGCGGCGGCAAGGGAGAGCACAGAGCTCAAGGTCATGAGCTGAGAGACACGCATGGTGGTGGCGGAGCTTCAAGCCTATAGAAAATCTGGCTGCTTTTGACGGCTCACAAGCATTGATCAAAGGATGTAGGTCTCAATTGGAGAGATTGGTCGCCGCTACAAATCATCAATGGCCGGCGGCGGGCGCGAGAGTTTCCCGGAGACTTGGCTATGGTGCAACCGCAAACGGAGCGGTGTCGGAACGAAGTGGGCGGAGATCGACCTGGTAAGGTAAGCCTGGGAGCTCAAGCCTCAATCACGGTGACGGGAAGTGCGATAAAGTGAGCGATATGAGTGATAAGAGTCAGATATCTGCAGAGTGCAGGCTGAGGTGCGAGGTCTGAGAATGAGGTCATTCCATCCCAAGCTCCCGTCATTGGCTCCAGCCACGAGCACGGACTGTTCCCCGTCAGCCACCCCCATGTTCCCGCAGGGGCGGGAGATGATCCAAGCTTTCCAGGTTGGTCCCTCGATCCAATGAGATGGCGGTGGGGGGAGAGAGCCTCATCAGTGCAGTCTCAGCGAGCGTCTCAGACAAACGAGGTAGACTTGGGGATAGTGATGCTTACACACATTTGGATACTGGAGTGCTCGCAATCCACTTGACTGCACGGCTGCCGTCTAGCTGAGGTGCTGTTTCTCCCGCGTCAGGCTCCCAATGGTGAAGAATATCATTAGTGGTAGCAAGCGATGTGCCTGGTTTTAGGTACCTACCTAATTATGAGCCGCCCATCTTAGGTACTTAGTCTACCTTAACCAGCCTCTACCGCCAGTATCAAAGCTCTTGTTGCAATCTGTGCAAAGCGACTGAAACGAAACGTTCTAAGATGTGGCCAACGTGACCATCTCTTATTTGCAAACGGCCAAATACTATCCTTCTTGTACCTAGGTAATGACGCTGAGCACAGCTGTCTTTAATGGTTAATCCAGGCGGTCCGAGGCACTGTAAACCAATGACTAAAGCCCAGTCAAGAACGAGATACGGGGGTGCGTAGACGGGAGTGTCCAATCTGGGGAGTTCAATGGCAGTTGGCAGTGCTAGATATTCCTTACCTTTGCAGAATTCCACGCCGCTGAGGGAACAGGTCCGCCCGCTCTTTCCCCGGATCTGCCAATCTTGGGCAAACTCAGTGGACATCGAGTTCCAGTCTGCACCCCACCAGGATTTTACCTTATCATTTATGTAATTGTTGCAACTCTTTCCTCGTCTTGAGGTGCCTACCCAGGATTCCTTAGTATGTATCAAGGTACCTAGATATCTAGGTACTCGAGGTGATGTGCCTTTGGTCGTGTGTCCACCGCTGGGCGACCCACTTGGCCGCTGCTCCTTGCCTCTCTGGGACGCAGTTGGATTGGAGCGCTGAAATGGGGGTACCTCCCCCAGGTACCTGGTCTGTTTCGTTCCCCGTCCTCACTTCTCGCTCGCCTTGCCTCGCCATACCTAACGCTCCTTAGCAGCAATCCAGCAACCGATTGATGAGCACCGCCTGCGGTAGTACACTACCTTTGCAGACAGGGGCCGTTTGTGAACCCAGCAAACTTCCCCAGCCATTGCATTCCACGATCCTGGAGCTACCAACCTCAACTTGCGCTCACCAACAGCTTCAATTGCTACCCCGTGATCCCTTCCACCGATCTTTCCCACGCGCACTCGACTCCTCGCAGGCCCATTCGATCCGTTCCGCCCATCTTGTCCCTTCTAGATGCAGCTTGCACTCTTTGCGCGCCACCGTGGGCTCCCGAAAGTCGATCCTAAACCTCCTCACGCTTGCCTGGACCCAAACCCCCATTCCATAAGTCTGTCGAGTCTCGCCTGAGCCCGTCCGCCCACTTTGCCCGGCTTCGCTTCGGTCGGCTTTGACGTGCCTGGTCATCGCCTTGCGGAGGGATGCAGGCCAACAGAGGAAACGCTGAGGCCCTGGGTCGCAAGGCCAAGGTGCGTCGCCCAAAAAATACCACTATCCATCATGCCACCCATCTTTTTGTTTCGCAGTCCTCCCAATCGCCCTGCGTCGTGTTCCACCAAGTCGGCCATTTGGCTAATACTACTATGACAGCTTGCTCGCTCGTACCAGGAGCTCCTCGAGTGAGTTCCACTATCCGCCCGCTCCGGTGTGAATCCTAGGCTAACCTCTGCTGCTTCCAGCGAGTTCTCCAACAAAGACCTCAGCTCCGTCGGCAACTACACTCTCGGTCGTCTCATCGGAAAGGGTTCCTTTGGCAAGGTTTACTTGGCCTCCCACAAGCTCACCAATGGCTCCAAGGTAGGCAACGGCCGACATGCGTGCTGGGACAATACTGTCGAGTCTGGGCTGGTTATACTCATTGACTGGGGTATAGGTCGTCCTCAAATCCGCAAATAAAGGCGACTCGAATCTCGCACGCGAAATACATCACCATCGACAATTCGTCCATCCACATATTGCCAGGTTGTACGAGGTCATAGTCACGGAGAATCTGGTGTGGCTGGTGTTGGAATACTGTGCTGGTAGGCTTTATCGTTTTATTGCTGATACAGAAACGATAATTGACAAAGACTCGATAGGCGACGAGCTTTACAACTACCTCCTCGAACATGGCCCTCTTCCCGTCCACAAAGTCCAGAAGATTTTTGCCCAACTCGTTGGCGCTGTCGCATACGTACATCAACAATCATGTGTCCACCGCGACCTCAAGCTGGAAAACATCCTGTTCGACAAGCACGAAAACGTCAAGCTTGTAGATTTTGGTTTCACGAGAGAATACGAGGGGAAAGCGAACTATTTGCAGACATTCTGCGGCACAATATGCTACTCGGCACCCGAAATGCTGAAAGGCGAAAAGTACGCTGGAGAAAAGGTCGATGTCTGGAGTCTTGGCGTTATCCTATATGCCCTACTATGCGGAGAGCTACCGTTCGACGATGACGACGACAACGTTACACGTACAAAGATCCTCAGCGAGGAACCGAAGTTCCCCGACCATCTCCCAACTGCCGCCATTCCGTTACTCAAGTCTTTGCTCTCTAAGCGACCCCTACTCCGACCCTCCCTCCCCGACATCCTCACCAATCCTTTCCTTGCCGAACATTCCCCAGCACAACAAGCGATCCTAAAACTGCAAAGGCCTCCGCCTTTTTCAACGCATCTAGAGAAGGAGACTCTTCAGCGCATGCGGGGAGCGGGTGTCGATATTGACTCCGTCATCGAAAGCGTGCTTGCGCAGCGCTGTGACGCTTTGGCTGGCTGGTGGACGCTGCTCATTGAAAAGGAGCAGCGGAAAGTCAAGAGACGAGAGAGGAAACGGCGGGAAAGAGAGGCCGAGAATAGGAGCTTGCGCCGTCTGTCCGCCGCATCCAGCAGACTCGAGCGGATTGCGCCTGTGTTGCAAGAGGTCGATGAGGACGGCGGGCTGACAAACCGCTTCATCAGACTTGAAGACGGCCCTATCACACCACGGACAAGAGGCCGGTCAGAGAGAAGAAGCGCGCATTACGCCGACTTGGGGGACTTGCCCGGCCTGCCCGAGCACAGCAAGGAAAACGGAAGTCCCGATACAGAGGAACCACCTCCACCAATCGATAAGGACTCAATCCGGTCTGCCAGTACGTCTAGACATCGTCGCCCGGTTCCGCCCCCTAAGGAGGGCGTGATCCGCAGCGCACGATCTCGGGGTTCGACCCTTCATCTAGTGACCACTTCGGAAGCTTTGGCGGCTAACGGGACGCCAGAGCGACCACCTGAACAACAACAAAAGGTTCGCAAGAAGCCCTCACAGGCCATCATTGCGCATTGGAAGAACTGGACACACTGGTTCTTCGAGAACACCCGTAGGGGACGGCACGCGAATAAGAGAGGGAGTCACTCAACGCCTAACCTGGTCGATAAAAACGGCAGTGTTGCCGGCAGCAGCAGTAAACACTCCAAGGACACGAGTCCTCGGCCGCAGACGAGCAAGTACCCGACAACGGATGCTGGCGTACCTCAAGGAAAGGCCGGATTGCCTCGTGGCGTAGTGGCTAATGGCCATGCCAACAAGGCACTGCCAAGTCACGGAGGATCTGGAGGCTTCAGCAGTCCGGCCTCTGGTGCAGGCTCTGTCCCCACGCGGGTACCGTCCCGGATCACAACATCTTACAAGCGACAATCGCTGTCGCCGTCTCCCATGACCCCACGAACTACGATGCGGCGCTCTTCGGCAGGGTTGAGGGGCCGAAAGTCCACTTCTTCATCGGTCTCGTCCATTCGTTCGATGCCTCATCATCATCACTCTCATTCCAAAGCTTCATCAACAAGCTCAAACGGATCGGTCTCGACTTCCATGTCCAAGAACACTCTCCAGCGCGGGCAGTCGCCTCATCACTCTGTCAAAGTTCTTCCAGCGACTCCCACCGCGACCGCCTTCCCGTCGAATATCCGTCTAGTTCGAGGGCCAGGTCCCCCGGCTCCCCTTGCTCTATTCAATGAGGGCATGCCTCCCCCACCGGTAACGTCAGGAATGCAGGCTCCAGGCTCGCCTAATCCCTTTGCCCTGGGAGGGGGCATCCAATTTGCCAAGCGAAAGCGGAACATCTTCAAGGGTCCGATGCTGGCCTTTGGCGGAGGTGGCAGCGCAGGCGGTGGCGGAGGAGGGGGCGGCAGCTCGCGAAGCACAAGTTCCAACCATTCACGCAGTGCAAGTGCTTCTGGACTCGGACGACGGTCGGGCGAAGCTCCCATCCAGGAAGAGGAAGAAGGCGAAGAAGCGGAAGAAGAAATCGAGGAGGTTGACGCTTTCAGCCCCGTTGTTGGGGGGCCAGGAGAGCGCATCGAGGAGCAAATTATTGAAGACAGCGAGACAGAGGCACTAGCAGAGCAGGCGGAGGAGAAGGAGGAAGATGCTCCTCCGGTAACGCCAAAAGCATCAGCCGCCCCTGTCCCGACATGATCAACACCAACTACCCTTTCTGCCGTCCATCAAGGAGGATGGCCACCTTTTTCTCCTCAAATACAATGTTTACTGCGAGTTTGATCAAACACGCTCCAAGGAACGAGTCCAGGCAAAAGCTTTCATAGTGTTTTTCTTTTCTTTTCTGTATATTCCCCTTTTGGCGACTTGTACTATACTTAGAGGATACCTTGTACCAAACAAAGGGTGTTGATATTTCTTTTGCAGTGAAGATAAAACCTCGAGTCAACGCTTGATGTATTTCTCTATAATCATGCCTAAACCTCGCTGTTATTCTGTCATTGTGCTTTGCCTTAGTTCCCAGCCTCCCGTCAGCGAATGCGCGCAAGTAGATCACATTACGCCGAGATATAGCGTCTATCAAGTTCAGGTCTTCTTGGTGGCCTTGGTAGTCTCGATGAGCCCGTTTCTCGCAAATATGATATTACGCATAGTCGCGTCTGTCGCGCATACGGACGCATCGAATGGCTTTAGGTCTGCGTCTCCCATGATGGCGAGTGCAGCTAGGCCAAGGAATCCGTGGAAAATGTCTGGCGGGCCTCCAGGATACTTAGAGAACCCACCGATGAGATGCTGTGTTTTTTTGGTGATGAAGCGTCGTGACGGCTCGGCGTCAATGAGATCGGTGTGACCAAGCATCTTAAAAACGTCAGCAAACCGTGGCCCTTGGCAGTCGACAATCTATATTCCTTGTACCTGTAGTGTCCCTCCTACCCACCAGCAATAGCATGTGTCCGCGACCTTGTTACACCTTCCATTGAACCCAACGAAGCGCAGGTTTGGATCCAATGTCAGCTCGCTCAACGACGCGGGCAGCGCAAAGTTGGCATGGTCGGGATCGTCCGAGTCGTCTTCTTTCTCGAGGTATTCGAACTGGCGGTACACCAGGAACTTGACCAACAGGGACGCATCAGGGACGCCTTGCTGAAGTATCTGGCTGTCGTGTGGAGTTCCACTCTGGTCTGGGGGTCGATCGAGGAGGACCAGCGCGCTGACGGCGCACCATGCGTAGCCAGCTTCAAACCTCATATCAGCTTCACGTATTCAGCATCATCACCATTGTAGCAGGAGCGTACCATGAGACTCGTTTGCATGGGAGCTCTCAGCGACTCCACCGTCATAGGTCTGTCCTTGGCGGATGTGCCGAACGAGGCCATCCACGTCAATGTCCTCCACCCAGTCCTCGTCTCCCTCCTTGGCATCGCCCCGTAGAGCCCACCGTATCGTGGCGGCCAGAAAGCATAGCCGCATGTCCCTCCCGCCAGCAATGGCCCCGTCGTCCAGCACGAGCTCGCCAAAGCTGCCATCGGTCCTCTGCAGCCGCCTCAACCACCGCAACGTCGCAACGCGATCCACGCCCGCAAAGGCGCTCTTGGCTTCCTCTGGCCCGTCCGCGACAATGGCCAAGATCAACAGCGCAAAGTATGTCGAGGCCAGGTTCGCCGAGCTCGCATTCCTCGTTTTAGGCGTTGCCTTTTCAAAGTCCCAGCCGGCGTATAAGTCGCTTGGCAGAGCATGGTTCGGAGAGCCGCAGAAGCCGCCGCCGGGGTGGTAGAGACCCAGAACGAACTTGCGCGCGGCAGCTCGGTCGGCGGATGTGAGGAGATGGGGGGCATCCTTGGTCGGCTCGGAGGGGGAGAGTATGTCGAGGGCGGCGAGGATGAAGAAGCTGAGAGCTATGCGCGTGCTGTCGGACGACGTATACTGGTGCGGGAGGAAGGTCTTGTGGCAGCGTTGCCAGTATTTGATGTGCCTCGCTTTCTCGAGCGGCATGACTGTGTCGGCTGCCATCTTGGCCGTGATGGATTCGAGGATCGCAGTCGGGTGGGAAGAGTGTTGGTGGGGTTTGTTACCTAGCTCCGGGACGTTTGGTCAAGTGAACAAAATCCCCCGATGGTTTGCAGGACCTTTCATCCCACCTCAACCCCCAGGCCAGCATAGGACACAATCAGGAACGGACCCCACCCCCCACCAAAGCTGCACCTTCAGCTTAAGCAGGTTTAGCTCAGCGAGCTGCTGGAAAGAACGACAGCGCTAGCAGGGAGGAGGTCCACTAGAAGACCGCTGAACGGCGCTGAAGCCTCGCCCCGTCTCAATTGATGAGACGAATGAGAAGCTCCAGATCGATAAGCCTCGCAGCCACAGGGTTACCTAGGTACTTCGCTTCGTTTGCTTGCTGATAAGACATGCGCTGGACTGGTGGTCCATTTCTTTTCTTGTCCGACGCGACTGCGCCTACGACTGCGACGTCAATTGTCCCCCCCTCTCTTTCTCAACGAGCTTGCTTCAGTTCCCTCACCTTAATGAATACAGCGCATCGCAAGGAACCGTAATCATGGCGATCATATCAGCGAAAACAATCATTACCTCCCTCTCCCTCTTCCATGTCACCCTCGCATACTTCTTTCTGACGAACCCGGCGACCATCGCAGACCAGGCGATGGTGTACGTGCTGGGCGAGTCGATGGGCATGGCAAGTCTCCAAAGCTTCACTTCATGGTCCATTCGTAACAAGGCCGAGCGCTAACATTTCCTCTTTAGCCCCATGCGCGAAGCTTCGAAAACAGGTCTCCCGCCCTCGCTTTCCTCGCCGCCGTGCTTGGGATACTGGGCATCAGCGACCTCGTTACCCTCAGCATGCCCGAAGAAGTCTGGTTGATCTACCACTGGGGAACACAGGGTAAGCAACGTGCTTTTCCTTCTTATGCTGGTAGTTCGAGGCAGTTTCTCACAACCCAATCATAGCACCAACTCGTATGGTCATGTCCTTCGGTTTTGTCCTCTACACCTTCCTCTTCGGCCCTTCATCCCCCCTTTATGGCGGAACCTCGAAAGGCGGCAGTCGCTTCGCCCATCCCTCCGTCCAGTCGAATAATCCGCGCTATACACCTTCGACTTGGGGCGGTGACGGCCTCAAGAACCGTGTGTTCTTGACCTTTGCCTTCCTCGAGATGTTATGCTGGTTCTGGGTCTGGATGACCCTGCGCGAGGAGCAGGAAGAGTTCCAGCGTAAGAACCAACACAAGAGGAGAGGAAGTCAGTCAGGGTACAACTGAGCGACAGGCTTATCGAGTGTACTAAGCCGTTCGCTGGAGGCATTGAAGGCGTTGCGTTCACCCAACCACGGGAGCGATCAGACGAATATGCTTCCGCGCTACCGGGAGGCCCGGGCCGCTTGCGTGGCCCCTTTAGCATTGCGTGGAGTTTTGGGATGGCAGGTACGAAAAAGGGCATACTCGGCGTAATAATCATTTGATGTGCGACATGACGGTTTTCTATTTTTGGGCTCCCGAGCTTATGAGTGACAGCCTCCTACTCTAGGTAACTTGAAACAAAATATTGAGTTGGTATAGGCTACATCATGAATGCAATGAGCCGTCTACTCCCATCGCACCGATTCCCAACCCTTCACGTTCGTCCGCCAGCTGTCGGTCACCCGCTGTGACCAAACACCAACGTGAGAACCTGCCACCTCGCGTATCTGTTTTGACAAGTCGTCCCCAGAATCCGTCTCAAACGTCCAAGAGCCCAGTTTCGCATTCAGCGTGTTGCTTTCCTGCTTCAGGAGAGCCACCCGTGCCTTGCCTTCCGTGAAGGCAATGCTAGCCGCATTCTCGAGAGCCTTGACTTGCGCCATCACGTCCTTGGGCACGTTACTCTGCCCGGAACGGTCCCTCTCCTTCTCACGGTCATTGAAAGTCACTATGTAAGACGTCGCTAGCTTCACGGCGGCGGCAGCGTCGCGAAGAATCGACAGACCGTGGAGTGAACCCAGCATCATTAGTGTCTTGGACCCTTCTGCATCAGCTGGCGTCGATAGCGCTTGCGCGCGAAGAACCTCCAGGCCAGACTTGATCGCGGACACAATGCTTGCCAGAAGCTCGGGAGGTGGTGGGCTGCGACTGGCGGAGACGGAGAGGGGAATCAGGGTGATCAGAAGTGAAACGACTTCGTAGTAGGTTTCCTCCTGTTGAGTGAGATTCTTTCCGCGAGTGTGGAGGAATCTGCTGAAGGTGTTGCCCAACCTCTGAAGGGATTCCAGGACGAAGGCCAGTTCTGCAGCGGTCGTCTGCGCAACGTTGGCCACTTTGTAAGACGATGCGGGCTTGAAGGTCATAACCTCAAAGAACTTTTCTGCGGCGAGGGTTAAGTGGGAACGCAGGTTCTGGATGAGACGTTAGAAATGGTACCTAGTACAGTAGAAGGGGACATACCGATGGATCAGGGCCTAGCCGCAGGACGTCGTATATCGGGCGGCCCGAGGCAGCTTCGAAGTTAGGCACAGATCCGTAGTCGATGACTTCGTTCAGCACAGAGTTGTCGGTGACTTCCTCTACGAATAATAGTCAGCACGAGGGATCGACGTAGGGAACCAAGTTAGCCTAGTCATGACTTACCAACCGCCGGTTCTTCAAAGATCGAGTCGCTGCGGATATCCAGCGCTCGAGCAGCTTGAGACTCCTCCACATATCCCATCACCAGGGTGCAGCTTGACCTCAGCCGCTCGGTGTAGCTAGGGATATCGAGAATGGCAGTGTAGCTCTCGGCCTCGAAAGCATCAGCCAGCCTTCTAGGCATTCTCAGCTTGAGAGACGCCCGGTAGTGGGATTTCAGTCCCTGCATCAGCCCTCTTTCAGGTCTATTTGGCGGTAGAATTAAAGTGGGCGCAATGGTTGCCAGACGGTCAAAGAAGTAGGGGCCAAGCGAATCAATAATAGTACGCTTCACGTCTGCGGTATCCCACACTTCGCGAGCACGAGAAGCACATCCAAGTACAAGATAGATGCGCACCAGGACCAACGTGAGTCGGGTGTGCTTTGGTGTTCTGGTGAGCTGGTCTTCGATGATGAGGGCAGCTTGAAGCAAGCGGTCAGGTCTACCGTTCTTCGAAAGAGAGGTAGGGTTGTCGATACCACGCTCGTGCGCGCCGCTCAGCCTCACACAGCATGATGCTGCAAGGATAGCAAGTTCCGGGACAC